CCTCCCACGACTGTGTAGGACCTTAAAGGATCATCATTAAATTTGATACGGATCTTTAAAAAAGTTATCACATGAGTGTGAAACTTGATTTTTTTAGAGATCCGCGCCAAATTTAATGGCGATCCTTTGGGGTCCTTCACATATGGGTGGAGGAGGCTCCCATAGGATCATTTCTCATTAAAAAAAAGAGTAATGATCTTATGAGACCCTCCCACACCTAAGTGTGTAGGACTCCAAAGGATCGCCATTAAATTTGACACGTATATCTAGAATATCAACTTGACTTTTTTAGAGATATGTGCCAAATTTAATAGTGATCTTTTGAAATCATATACACATGGGTGTGAGAGGATCCCATAATGTCATTTCCCTTAAAAAATTGGATTGGATTTGGATCTGGATGCGAATCGGAACCACCTATACCCAGATCAAATTCAAAATTTAATTCAGATCTAATTTTTAGATATGGATCAAAATTTCATATCCAAATTTTGGGTCCAAACCAAAATCTGAATAAGGTCCGAAATCCGAGTTTAGGATGGGTAAATTCTCACCCCTATCTAACATTTCCCCCTTAAATCTCCTCTTCTCTCTCTTCCTCATCCCTTGACCCACCTCCATTTGTATAACAATCTTCGCTACACAACTCCTGAACGTTTTCTCTCTCTTCACACACTCCATTTACGTACCCTCCAATTCATCATCAACTGCTAATCTCTGAAACTCCACTGATCATCTCGATGTTGAGATGATCAATTAGAGGGTTTTCCAATATCCAAACAACCTTTTATGATGGATTTTTGAAGTACATCTTTAATTCTACATTTTAATGTTGCAATCTTACATAAATTTTTGGGATTGTCGGTATACAATGAGATTATTTACCTTTAATACAAGGTGGTCACAATTCTTTATAACCATTTGATATGAAATTTGATAGCTTGGATGTGTCCCAACGTTCGAGAAAATTTCTTTTAAAGTTTGAGCTTGGTCAATAGAATAATTGCAGTCACCCAATTTCACATCTAATGGTCAAGATTAATGTGATTACTTTGTATCAAAGGCAAATGGTTTCATTCTATATTTTCCCTAAGCTTTTTTATTTGGAAAAAGAAATAGATTAAAGTTTTTGAATATGAGTTTTTAGAGAGAGAAAGAAAATGGGGTTTTAGAGAGAAAAAAAGAGAAAGGGTGGTGGGTTGAGAAAACATATTTAAGAGAGAGAAAGAATGGGGTTTTAGAGAGAGGGGGGCCGTTGGGGTGATGAAATGAGGTGGATTAGTGGCCACTTATGCTCACCCTTCTTCCTAATATTTTTTATTTTCCAATGTCTTTTAAGGGTTTTAAAGTTTTTAAAATATTATAGCATAATGTTTTTGGGCTTACTACAAACAAAAAAAGTTTGAGAATAAAGATCTTAAAACAAAACAAAAAGAGCTTCTAATTGGGCTGGGCTGGGGCTTTCATTTGGGCCGAGCCCAAACGTCTTTCCTGGCTAGGCCAAAATAGTTTCAAGCTTTTTTTTGGCTTGTAGACGTGTTGGTTATGGCCAGCTAGAAAAAGCATGAAACAAGACTATTTATATTTAATACAAAGACGTCACAATTAATCTTAATGTTCGATGTAAAATGAGACGGCTAGTACACTTGGAACCGACAAATCCTTATTGTCAGATTGGATTTGTACCTATTGGTTAGAGGTGCTTGTGACCTCTATATACTACAAGGAAAATAGTTTTTTCCTCTATATGTATACTACATTTGTTAGAGATTTAGTCAATCACCAACGTATAGATATAATAAAAAAAGAACTTTTAAGAGACCGTCGATTTTTAAGATTTTTAAATGTTTACAGATTCACTCAATTTAGAATTTTAAATTTTAAATTTCATAATTAAAACTAATGTTCGTGGGGTTTTTAATACGGAAACTACATCTCCTGTCAAAATCTACAAGTACGCCCAACTTGTATAAGAGAAGGAGGGTACCATTTGCCTATCTCACCCACTTTCTTCTTAGGTTCTTAGGTTGAGTAGGTTACATTTTAGAATTACTCCTAGCTCAGTGTTTTATACAACGTACTTTTGTGGGACCATCAAATCTCTTAATTTTAATTTTCTAAGTTGTAAATAGCTGAAATTTTATAAGGAAATGATGATTTTGAAAGAGGACCACTTGAAAATAAATCTGGCACACTCTCCTTGAATCCATACTTTTACAAATATAATAGAGAAAGCAATATACTTGTGGTCACAGGATCATAGTGTAGTCCTTAGAAATTTACTAGGCTAGAATTAGCCCATGCAAAACTAACGAACTTTGTGTGGGGAGAGAAATACAGGGCTTTCCCAGCCTCAACCCCACGCATGCCGGCCTTCCATCAACTCTCTCTCTCTCTTTCTCTCTCTCTTAAAGGCCCAAATTCTTCCTTTTCTCTCCCGTCCTCTCTTTTTCTCTCTACTCTCTTTCTTTCTTCTCTCTCCCTTCACCTGTTCCTACTGAGGAGAAAGCAACAATGGTGAGTTCTTGGGATTCCAACATCCTTCTTTCCATTTATTTTCTTATTGTTTCTTTATTTGATTAATTGGGAGATAATATTTTTTAGTTTATTGACAAAGGTTTCAAGTCTTTTCAATTGAGAGAGAAAAATCCTATAAATTCATTGCAGCCATAAAAGAATATGGATATCATCAAAGCTATATCCCATTCTAATGGTGATTCTGTGAGATCTAAAGAGTGAAACAAGTTATAGAACACCTCACAACATCAAATTAAGAACAAGAAAACAACATAGATTCATTGTCATGATGAGGTGATCTTAATTATACATGATTTCTAATTTTGTTTTCTTGATAGGCGAATTCTGCGTCGGGCATGGCGGTAAATGACGATTGTCAGCAGAGGTTTTTGGAATTGAAGGCAAAGAGGAGCTATAGGTTCATAGTGTTCAAGATCGAGGAGAAGATACAACAGGTGACAGTGGAGAAGATCGGTATGCCAAACGATACCTATGATGACTTCGCTGCGTCCCTCCCTCCAAATGAATGTCGATATGCGGTTTTCGATTTCGACTTTGTCACAGATGAGAATTGCCAAAAGAGCAAGATCTTCTTCATTGCTTGGTATGCAACTGTTAGATCTCTCATAAAAAAAAAAAAAAGATTTCCTCTCTCACGAATGGATATCTTAACAAAAAAAAAAAAGGGAATGGAAAATTATAAAAACCCCCCTTGACTCAACTTTCTCTACAACTTCTCCCCAACCAACTTTTTTATTGCAACTTTTACTCTAAAACAAACTTTTATAAATATCACCCAAGTAAAAAAGTCATAGTTCTTTGGACCAAAATTCCCTCCCCTTCGTCGTTGAATGTCGTCGGTTTGACACTTGTAAATGCGGTCCGGCAGATTGTTGTTGTGATCTGGTAGTTTTGTTGATCCAACCCTATGAGGCCTCGGTCTGGCATAAGTTGCATGCGGTTTGGCAGATTGTTGTTGCGGTCTGGCAATTAATGTGGTATGGGTTCCGGTCCTCCAAACTATGACTTTTTTTTACTTGAAGGGGAGGGGGGGGGGGGGGGGGCTTTGCCATAAAAGCTTTTTTTGGGGGTAAAAGTTGTGATAAAAATGTTGTTTGGGGGGGAGGTTCTAAAGAAAGCTGAGTCAAAGGGGGATTTTTGTAATTTTATAAGAAAATCCTCTCTCATGCATATATAGGAGAGATTTATGGTGCTCTCTCTTAGGGAGGCTTTTGTGACCATCATTTTGAGAGATGATCTACTACCATTCATTGTTTTTTGATCAAGGGTGTTCATGATTCCAACATCACAGGAATGGAGCTTGGGTTTTAGTCGTTAGTAGCCTATAGTTAACAATGCTATATCTCAAGTTCGATTCCTGTTACAAAATTACCCAAAAAATGATTGCAACTCTACATTCCAAATTCAAAGTGAGTGCAAACCTTACCAAAAGAGTAAGTTGAGAATGTAAAGTTGTCTTGAATCGAGACCCTATTTGGATCAGGATAGTCGAGTGAACCCAAATTTGACAAAAAGCGTTAGGTATCCTAAAAGTTGTGAAAGTGAGAGACTCGTATAGGTAAATTTTTGGGTTTTTTCTTTTCTCTATATTAGGTTGTCTTGAAAAGAGAGAAAAAAACAAAAAAAAAGAGAGAGAAAAAAAAAGAAAAAAAAATAAAAGAAGCGAGGAAAGCCTTGGGTGTAGAGAGATAGAATTGTAGATAGAGGGGCTTTATGTGATATTGAGTTTATCACTATTTGTCTCAGATAAAAGTCATCTTATAATTTTTTTTTTCTATTGATTAGTTAAAAAGTGTAGATCGGCTTTGCCTGTGGATGTAGTCACACAATAGTAACGAACCACATAAAATCATGTTGTTGTTTTCTTTTTTCTTTACTGCTTTGTTTTTCTTGATTATTGTTTGTTTATGGCTAGTTGAGTTTTATCATTCTTTACTTTGTCAAAAATCAACCCATTAGGTCTTTGAGCTTCCACCCACGACAAGGGGTATCAAAGCCCAGTTTGGGGTTGTCATGATGACAATAAAGATTTTGCATGCAAAGTTCAAGAAGGAAAAATTAATAGCAAAATCATCTTTGGAACTTTATAAATCAATGTTCAAGATTTAGCATTGCATCAAGGACGACACAAAGCTTTGTAAGGAAAGACAAAATAACCAGAGACCCTATGGGATGAGGAACTAAGAAAACTTAGATATGAGAGCTATGAGCACTATTTGATTGCCTTTATAAAGTGATGTGATGTAAAACATTGTCGATGAGGATATGGCAACAAGCCTTTGGTTATAGCTTGAGAGCCTGTACATCACGAAGTCCCTCACAAATTTATTGTATTCAGAGCAAGAGCTGTACACCCTATGGAAAAATGAAGGTAAGGATGTCCAAGAGCACTTGAATCAATTTAATAAATTTTTTAATCAATTATTGAATATTAGTATTGAGATGGATGATGAGAATAAGCATAATTTGTTGTCCTCAATCTCTCATTCATATGAGCATCATATCACGACACTACTTTATGGAAAAACTCTAATAAAGATGGAGGGTGAGACTTCAACTCTTATCTCGAATAATTTGCGGAAGAGATTAGGTAACGTTCAACCATATGTATAAGGTTTTCTGGCTAGTGTGGTTGATAGAAAGCGAGAGGACATGAAATTGAGAGTAGGTCCAAATCGAAATCCAAATTCAGAAAATGATACTGTATCATGTTATTAACGTAAGAAAAAGAGGCATATCAAGATGGATGGTCAAAAGCTCATAAAGAAGGAAAATAGAGCCTTTATGTGGCTAATATTGCTGATAAAAGTTCGAAAAGTGGAACAAATAATATATTATCAATCTTGATAAATTATGATTATTCTAAAGACTTGTGGGTTCTTGATTTGAGATGTTTTTATCATATGTGCCTTCATTAGGATTGGTTTATCACATAAAAGAGACTTGATGTTGCATCTGCTTTGATATAGAATGATGCAGCTTATAAAAGTGTCACTTTTTATACAATTATTATTAAGATGTATGGTGGAGTCGTGAGAATGCTGATTAATGTAAGATACTTTCCCAATCTGAAAAATAATCTTATCTCATTGGATGCCTTGGACTCCCATAGCTACAAATTTGTTGGAGAAGGTAGACTCTTAAAATTTCTAAGCCATACTCAGGTTGTGAGGAAAGGCAAAAATATTATATTGAATTTATTTGACTTGCTTGAGAGTGTTATTATAGATAGGGCAGCAGTTTCCATATTTGATGGTGGTGATCCCAAGTTGACTCAATTGTGACATATACGGTAGGGCCACATAAGTGAGAGAGCTATGGAAGAATTAAGCAAATACCAATTGACCAATGGCTTAAAGAAGTGTAAGTTGGGCTTCTATGAACAATGTGTCTATAGCAAGTAGTGTAGAGTACTAGCTCACATATAGGTGGCCCTCATTAGTGGTCTCAAGAGAAGGATCACTTTACTTTATTTTCTTCATAGATGATTTATCAGAGAATATGAGGATTTACACATTAAAGGAGAAAGTATATGTAGCTAACACATTCAAACTTTGGAAAGCTAAGGTCAAGAGATAGACTGGAAAGAATGTCAAGTGCTTGAGGACTAACAATAGTGAAAGGTATTATTCAATGGAATTTGTGAATTTTTTTAACATTAAAAGATTTAGTTATCACTATACCACTTAAAGACACCGTAGTAGTAGAATAGAGTTGCTAAGCGCATGAACTGGAGACTTCTAGAGAAGGCCCAAAAAATGCTATGTAATGCTAGAGGCAGTCAATATGGCATGCTACTTCATTAACAAGTCACCTTCTACCACAATAGAGTGCAAGACACCTTAAGAAGTATGGTTTAGTAAACCTATTGACTATTATTATTTAAGAATTTTTTGTTGTCTTGCTTATGTTCGTGTGAAAGATGATAAGTGGAGTCTAAAATCAAAGAAATGTGTTTTCTTTGGTTATGTGGATGGAATTAAGGCTTTAGTTGTAGTGCCCAGATTCTAAGTCTCCTAAGTTTATTATTAGTTATGATGTTAAATTTGACGAGTCTTCCATGTTGAAGTCTATTAAGAAGAGTTTGGAAAAAGAAAATTGCAGTAATAGTGATAAATTTAAGGTGACGTACCCAGCTCTAGAAAATAATCCAAAAAGTGTTCAGAAAATCTTAATGAAATAATAAAAGAGAATGTTGATCATGAGAAGGTTACACCAAATAAGGAAGAACCTTATGATGGAATTGGTAAAACATCTAAGAAGCTAGTGGTGCAGCATGATTTTGAGGGCATTGGTGATATATGCTTGGCTACCATAAGCTAAAAGTGATCCAGTTTTAAGAAGCTAAACAAGATGTTGAGAGTAGCAGGTGGAGTGATGCTATAAATGGAAAATGAACTATCTTTAGTAGAATCGTAATTGGAATCTTGTGAACCTAAAGATAATAGAGTCAGTGGATATAAATGAGTTTATAAAAAATGAGTCTAGTGGGGATCGATTTAATGCTTGATTGGTTGTAAAAGGCTATATCAGATGGAAGACGTTGAATATAATAAGATCTTGTCTCTGGTGAAACATACTTCTATTCAGGTACTATTAGCCATGTTTTCATTATTTGATATGGAGTTAGAGCATCTTGATGTTAAAAATATATTATTGTATGGAGAGCTAGAAGATAGATTTATGTGATTCAACATGAAGGTTTGTTGCTTTATGTAGACGTATGCTTATTGATGCGAATATTATTTTAGAAATTAGTAAATTGAAGACTCAACTTGCTAGAGAATTTTAGATGAAAGATTTAGGTTTGCTTAAGAAAATTTTGGGTACGGACATATGTAGAGATAGAAAGTTTGGCAAATTGTGGTTATCACAAAAGGATTACATTGAGAAGTTCCTCACCAATTTCAGGATGGAGAATTCAAAGCTTGTGGGTACTCCTCTTGCTGTACAATCTAGATTGTTGGCAACATTATCTCCAAGTATAGATGCCAAAAAGGTAAACATGTCTCATGTTTCCTATTCCAATGCAGTTGGAAGCTTCATGTATATAGTAGTTTGTAACTGTTTAGATATTTTTTTATGCTACTGGTGTTGTTAGCAAGTATATAACCAATACAAGAGAGGAGTATTAACATGTGGTGGGTATATTATATGTGGGTATGGTTTTTTGCAACAACAGTAAGTTCTGTGACAAGGTTATTGATTATGTTGATGCTGATTATGTTCGTGATTTGGACTCTAGAAGATCTATTACAGGTTATATGTTTATACTTGTAGGAACTCTCGTTAGAGGTCGATGTAACAAACCAGGATTGCTTTGTGTACAACTGAAGAAAAATACGTAAATGTTACCAAGTGCAGTGAAATAAAACATTTAGCTTAGACAGCTTGTAAGTGATTTGAGCTTACAACAAGTATGACTATTATCTATTGTGATAATCAGAGCGCAATAAATTTGGCAAAGAACCAAGTATATCATACAAAGACAAAGCATGTTGATGTCAAGTATCATTTTACCCATAAGAAAATAGACAAGGTTGATATTTTGTTGTAAAAGATCAACACTAAGAATAATGTTGTGGATATGTTGACAAAGTCAGTTCCGTAATAGAAGTTCAAGAGGTGGTTAAACTTGATTATTATATTGGTCAGCGAGTGACCATCAGGGCAAATGTGGAGAAGGTGGCTGATGAAAATTATTTTGGAATTCAAGCCAAGGTGAAGATTTATTAAGTTGTCTTGAATCCCAAGTAGTTATGGGATTGTTTTCCTTTCACAAGTCTTCTAATTATAAGGGCATTTCCTATTAACCATGAATTACTATTAACCGACTTACAAATGTGTAGGAGTTTATGCTGGTGAGGTCCTATGTGAATCCAAATTCAATAGATAATGCTTAGAATCCTAAATATTAAGAAAGTGAGAGACCGATCTAGGTATTTTTTTCTCTATATTGGGTTGGTGTTTAGTGAGAGAAAGGCAGAAATGGGATGGAAATATTGGGTATAGAGAGAGACTTAATAAGAGATTGAGTTTTCCTAAAGTTCTCCCTAATTAGAGTTATAATTTTCTTTCTATCAATTAGTGAAAAACCATTAATCATCTTTACCTCTGGATGTTATCAAATCTATGATGAACGACATAAAAATCCTATTGTTTTTTTTTTTTGCATTATTTCATTCCCTCTTTTCTTTTTTTGCTAATCCTTTGTTGGATTTGGTGATAGCCAAATCACTATACCCATATTTTCTATTAAAAAGAAAAGGAAAATTTTTGAGAAGCAAGAAAATGATATCTATATAAAATAGTAAACAAAGGCATAATGCTCATCACAGTGAGTGTCAACCCTTTGGAAGGGATCTCCAAGATAGAGATGGGTCTTGAAAAGAGAGAGATATAGCTTCAAGAGAGAGGCGGTATTCCCATGAGATTTTGGGATAGTTAAATTTTCGCTTCTAAAGAGAGAAAATCTCTTGGTTGTTCTCAAGGAACTCTTTCTAATAGCGGTATATCTATGGGAAAGATGTTGAATGGCGGTGTTGCCTAGTCTGGAGAGAGGGTTTAGAAAGGTAGATCGGTGATGGTCTTTTACCGATGTTTAGAGAGATGTATTATATCTTGTTAACTGATATTATAGTCTTCATTGTAATGATAGATTTCTACTTGCCGAGGACGTGAAATGTAACCCTATAAGGTGAACTATGTAAATCATGTGTTGTTGTAGTGTACTTTTCATGTTTGCTTTATTTCTTGCACTAGATTTATAGTTGTATTCATCTACTTCACAATTAGCCAATTGTGTACACGATCTTGGGTGGGATCCCGATATTTGGGATTCCTGGTTCTATAAGCAAGGGGTTTTCGAGAACCCTACAATTGGTATTAGAGCATAAGTGTGTACAGGGTTAAGCTTTATATGAAGAAAAATATGAGGAAAGATAGATGGGTACATGGTTTGAGGTCGAAAAATATGGAGGCAAGTGAGAAGAAATAAAAAAATCTAGGGAAAATTGTTGAAAACCCCTTAAAATATACTTTCTAGACACTCTACCCCCACCCTAACCTTTCCTCACTTATTTTTCTCAAAAACTATCTTTTCTAACTAATACCTCCCAACCTAAAAAAATTAGAAATAAAGACAAAATTATCCCCTCGTTTTAACTTATACGTTAAAAAGGGCGTTTGCGTAGGCAGTCTGGTGATTGCATAGGCAGTCTGGCATTTGCGTAGGCAGTCCAAGATTTTGTGATCGTCGATCCGGCGTTTGCGTAAGTAGGTCAACATTTTTTGGGTGCAGTCCGGCGTTTTGCGCACCGTAATAAAATCAATCCGGCATTTTGATGCAGTTGTCCGGCAGTGTTTGTGCGTAGTCCGATGATATGTTTACTGTAATGTGGGTAATCCGGCGATTTGAAGTAGTGCTCTGGCAATTTACTTGCTGAAATGGGGTCAGTCCGACGTTTGCAATGTGCGGTCCGACATGTGTTTCTTGAATGATGTTAAGTCTGGTATTTCATAGCTTCGTTCTCGCATTATGGTCGATCTATCCGGCACTGGGAGGATGTAGTTTGACATTATCTTACTCGTGGTCGGGCATTACAGTACTTCGCTCCTAAGATTTTACTACTGAAGATGTAAGTTCGGCATTTCATGGTCTCGGTCCGGCATTTTAGATACATGAGTAGGGTGGTCTGGCATTAGTAGTTTACGGTCCGGTGTATCACTGTCTAAATAAGCAATCTGGTATTGTAGAAATGCAGTCAGGCAAATAACAACCGTGGTCTGACGAAAGTATTATTGGGGTCTGTCCAAATGATTTTTTCGTATGGTGAAGGTACGCGAAGGTCTATTATATCACTTTTTGAGTTGGGGGGGGGGGGGTATTAGTTAGAAAAGATAGATCGTGTGGAATAATTTAATAAAAATAAATTAGAAATGGAAACATAATCATGAGAGAAAAATAGAGAGACAAATCTTAACACAAATTTAACATGGTTCACGATGTCGGGCTATGTCCACGAGCAAGCCGGCAAGTAATTCCACTATCAAAAAATAAATTTACAAAGGGTAATACAATGTTATCTCAATGGAGAAAACTGGTGAAATTCATCGCAATGGTACCTTGAAATCACCCAAAGATCATGATTTACTTCGTGTTTCACTTCAAATGATCCAAGGATATGAGCAATACCATCTCATATAATTTTTCTACTAAAAAATTGAACAAGAAATCATTCTTCACCTACTTTCATTTTTTCACATAGCCAAAAAGTGCTTTAATCCCTTTTTAGAGAGAGAGAAAGTAAAATCAAGAAGAATTAATTGAGTGCTAAAAAAATGCCTTTTTTTTAGTTTATACATAAGTCACTTTTTGTAGTGACAACAAACAACCCAATAAAATGGAAAAGACAAATTCCATCCAAGGTGATTTTCTATCGCCATTTAACATCTTTATTTGCGGTTGATTGTGTTTTTTCGCTCTTTATCTTACAGAAAATCAATCTGTCGGGTTCTAGAGCTTTCGCACATTAGAGAAACTAGTAATCTTAAATATAGTGTCTTAATATAAAGGAATAAAGAGATATCAAAATTTGAAAAGACACACCATTTGTCGGGCTAAAACTCATCCCATCGGGAGTACATTTGGTTTGCCCAAAGGAGCGTTGAAATAATACACACCCTCCCTGGAAAACAATTTTGAAAAAGAATCCAAACTTTTCTTGACTTGAGATAAAATGACATAAAAACATGGCCGTTCCTTTTAAACAAGAAGAAAAGGGGTTGTATGGGTTTGTAACAACCTTAAATTTTATAGATTACCTCGTCATAAAAAGATGAATAATTTAAATGAATAAATTAAAGAGCAAGATATATGCGCACATGAAACGGATGGCCTACACTAATCCAGTTCAAAAAACTTTTCTGGATAGTTTATGGTTGATTTGATATCTAGTGTTTAGCCCAATGGACACATGGGTGGTATGAAAGAGAACATAGGTCAGAGGTATAAGCCCTAATTTTTTGGCACTCAAATTAAACCAAGTTTGGTATGCAGTGGTGCATTTGATATTAGAAGTTCAGATGGTAATGCTTGGCCTTCAAATATAAACCAAAATGAGTGACCCTTTTCACGTGAGCATTCACTGTGGTCCGGATGATGAAATTGATGGAGAAAGAGTGGGACCTATGACTTGAAACATGTCATGATGTACTTCCTATCTTTCTTTATCACCATATGTCCTGCTGATTAGACGGTGATGATGCTTATAACTATTACTTTTCAATCATAGATCATTGTATACTTCACTTTAGTGAGGATCTCGACTACTACTACTATCCCACTTTATAGGAAAAAGTTTTTATAAGGTTGACACCTTAAAATGTAACCAAGATGCATTTTGATGTTGGAAAATCAATCTAAGTTGATCATCTCGACATCGAAATGTATAAATATGGAGAAAAAAAGAGATTTTAAGTCCTAAAAATAGTACATCGTGCAACACATTATCTTAACCGTATATTTTCGAGAGTTTTATGCATTTATAGTTATGTTCGACTTAAACCATTTTTTGAATTTAAAATTCTATAATTAGAGATAAAAATAGATCCTTGCACCAACCTAAGAATTTTAAATATCCAAATTATATATCATGCCAAAGTTTGGATGTGCATGTTAATTTAATTGTTTAAAATTGCAACCTTATGCAAACTACACCCTTGTTTCTATCAATACATCTCTCTCACACACAGTAGAACAATTTCTATGAAAAATATGTATTTTGCAGGTCTCCAGACACTTCAAAGGTGAGGAGTAAGATGCTATATGCGAGCTCTAAGGATAGATTCAAGAGAGAGCTGGATGGCTTTCAAGTGGAATTGCAAGCAACAGATCCAAGTGAGCTAAGCATGGACATTATTAAAGGCCGTGCTCTTTAAATTCACCACCATTTCCTTCTCTCTCTTTATTTATATTCATTTTTGGGCCTTTCAATGTTGATATTTTACTATTTTGAGCAATGGATGGACACCTAAAAATATTCTTCTTCTCGTATTTTGTGTCGTTAACTCTAATGGGAGTCTTATCTTAATTTTGTACAGTGTGAAAGGATGTGTCCTTAGGCCTGTTTGGTTCTTTGGATTCAGATTTCAAAGGGTCACTTTTCTTGGAAAAGGCCGGCCAATCGTATAACATTTAAGTTGGAATTGAGATTTCGTAGGATTCTTGAATGCTCATTTTAAGCCTAAAGTTTGGAAATCTCAATTCCACCAAATTAGGTAGAATTGACAATTCATGGAAACGACCCATTTTAGAGAGATAAACTACTTCAAAATTTTTGACATCTCAAAACTTTTAGAGAGAGAAACTATATCAAATTTTAAGTTTGAGAGAGAGAGAGAGAGTATATCAAAATTTTAGAGATTAAGAACCATATCAAAATTTAGATAGAGAAACTACCTGGAAATTTTTAGAAAGAGAAACTATCTCAAAATTTTAGAGAGAGCAACTATTTCAAATTTTAAGTTTTTGAAAGAGAATATATTAAAATTGTTGAAAAAAAAATCATATCAAATTTTAGAGAAACTATCCCAAAAATTTGAGAGAGAGAGAAAGGATTTGCATTTCCAGGAAAAAGATATTCCAAACAATCCAAATAGTGAATTTGCATTTCTTGGTTTCCACCAAATGCAATCCAAACAACATACATCATATTCCAAGAAATACCAATTCCAAAAAATACCAATTTCAAGATACACTTTTCCACAGGATTGAAAAATCTAGGGAACCAAACAAACCATTAGTAGCAAAATAGACGTGCTAAGAATATGTTGTTTCAATCATTTCAAAGTTATCAATCCAATATAGAATTTCATGCTAATAAAATCTTACTTAACTCCATTGAAGAATTTAGCTTTTAAGTTTGTCTTGCATGGTTGAGTTTGAAGAATTTCGCAAACACTTTGACCCAATGATTTAAAAATCGGCGAGTCGAATCGGACCCCGGTTCGACTCGGGATTCGGCACAGTTCGTGCCGACTGTGCCGATTCCAGCACAAAATCGAGAACCGCTGGTTCCCACCCGGTTCTGTTCATTTTCCTCCCGGATCTAGTGGTTTCCACCCGGTTCTATCCGGTTCCCTCCCTGTTCTAGCGGTTCCCACTCGATTCTAGCTTCGTACACACGTGTGATACGCACCACTCCCACACGTGTGTACGTGTGATACGAGCGGTACACACTCCCACACGTGCGACACATACTCCCACACGTGCCATACGCACATACATGTATGCACCGGTTCTAACTGGTTCAGGCTTCAAAAACACTTTTACATGTGTGTACGTGTCACACGTGCGACACACACCACTCCCACATGTGCTACACGTGTGGCACACACATGCACAAGTGCACGGATGGCCAAGTGTTTTTACACTTGTGTTTATTTTTCAATTACATAGTTATTTATATAGCATATTTGAATACTCATCCTTCGATGTGAAATAATTTCCAAACATCATTAAATGAAAACATAATGTAAATATATTCTATTAATAAGCAATCTTAAAAACATATGCTAAGGAGGCATGATGGTTATCACTAACGTTATTTGCTTTGACTCCTCAAGTTTGAATCCCCCCTTGGGTCATATAATAGTTTATCCCCTCTTGAGCTAATTTTTGTTCCCCATTGGGCATATAATAAATTAAAGTGTTATTTCCAAAATTTGTACGTATTTTATTAATTTTTACATTGATATCCAAATCTTTTATTTTATTTATTAATTTTTACATTATAAATTATGCAATGTACTATTTTTCTTACAGTTGTCAATAATATATTTTAAATTAGATAATACTATAAAATATTTTTAATTTGTTATTATTTATCTAATAAAATAATTATAAAATATAAACTAATAATTATAATTTCAGTATATAATATTATACTTAGTATTATAGTTAGTTAGGTTGTAATAATTTGAGTTTTTTTAACGGATTAGGGTTTTTCGCCCCGAACGACATTTTAATGGCCATTCTTTCATTGATTTAGTCTACTCTTTATTATAGTCCATGTATAATTATATATTTTATCCATGATAATTCTACAATATTTCTTTTATGTGATGCAAATTTAATACTTAAGTTTATAATGGGAAAGAGCATCTCAATATTCACAAATTGATCAAAAAAATGAAAGTTAATAATGTAGTACCTTCATTTCTTATTGGATTCCTAAAAAACAACATTTATAATGAATTTTAATAATTTTTTCGGATTTTTTTGAAGCTTTAATCCGATCGATTCAGCCAATTCTCGATCCAGATCGCCGATTCGTCGATCGGGATCGGTTATTGAGGTGCCCGATCAGGGTCACCTATCCGCTTTTTAAACCATTGCTTTGACCTAATTTGGGCTTTGTTGAGTTACCTTCTTTCATGGAACATTCTTTTAATATACTTAACATTCATTGATCACCATTATTCTTGATTTTTAATATAAGATTTTTTTTAGCAAGGACATTTTCTACTCATAAATGAGGGGTAGCATATATATTTCTATAAAAATAATAATATTTATTAGTTGTTAGAAAACCATTAATATTTCATATAAGTGTTGTCAATAATGTTATATCCCATATCAGTGGTGTCCTTTCCCACTATAGTTAAAAAATACTATTATTGGTATCCCAGATCAATGATGTCCTTTCCCACTAGCGTTAATTTTATTGATCAATTACCTAAAATACCCCTGAACAAAAAGTTGTTATAGTAAAAAGTAAGGTATAGAGTGTAAAAACAATGTTGAGGATATTAAGCTTTTTATATAAGGTTGCAACCTTAAAATGTAAAATTACGTATGCATCTTAAAAATCCATCAAAAAATATTGTTTTAATGTTGAAAAACCCTCTAATTGATCATCTCGACATCGAGATGCAAGGATATAACCAAAAAAAAATTTTGAGTCCAAGAAATAGTGTATCTTGAAAAACATTATCTAGATTATTCATATTCAAGATTTTTATATATTTATGGATCTACTTGATTTTATCCATTTTTGAAGTTTCAAATTTTATAATTAGAGATAAAAATATATTTTAAGATAATCCTTAGAATTTTTTACACCAAAATTATATATTATGATCAAATTTGGAGGTGCACCTTAATTGGATTGTTTACGGTTGCAACCTTGTAGAAACCACACCCTTAAGCTAATACTCAATGAGAAAAAGTACCCTAATAAAACCTTTTGGCCTAAACTCATGTTGTATGCATGGTGAAGCAAGAAAAAGAAAAAGTATATCCAATTCTCCAATGTACTTTTCTTGCAACTCATTTTGGCAAGAGGAGGTATCCAGTTCTTTTTAGCCGTGTTACTAAGCTATGTAATTTGATCCATCTCAACCGTTTATTCAAATCTAATGAGAATTATATAACTATTATTCGTTGAGGAAGTATAGAAAGCTTGCCTTTTACAATGTCTTTGCTATGAATATGCTCAGATGATCCGAATCAAAATCGGTGACTCCAGCAAATTTCTTACCCAGTCAAACCCAATTCAACTTTCGATCATTCCTCCCGGCCCCCCCTCCCCTCCCCTCCCCTCTCTCTCTCTCTCCTTTTGTTTGTGGTACAAACCACCATAATCTATTTTGGGTTGTTGAGCACTAAAAGTGCCCATATCCTCTTCATTGCGTGTAAAGCAAATCTTGTACCAAGGAGCACTGTGATAGCCTTTGAATCATTTTATTGCTTTTGTCCCAAGTCTCATAAAAGCATCTGTATTTACTAATTCTAATAATCATAAAACCACTTTTTGTGGATGACATTTAACTTCTAGAAGCAAACATTTTTTCCCACATCAAATTGAAAATCATGAAAACATGAACTTTTTAAGGACTATTGTTGTATATAATCAACCAATCAATAGTGTGTTTTTCTATTTGAGGGCTTCACATGCTTGAATAAGAGATCCCTACTTTTGTACCTACAAAAAGAAAAGATTATTTAGGGTTTGTCACTGTCCCGACCCCATAGTCTATGGAAAATTTAATGCTCCCAAAATGTAATAAATGGGACTAATTTATAAGTTATATTGAGGTTTTTTTCTCTTGTGCCCTAAGATGTGTTAAAAATCACTGTCTCATGCTAGTATGTTTGTATGAGCCCATTATGCCCTTTGTGTCTATGATGATTATGATGCTTTGGTCTAGATGAACTGCCCCCTTGCTGTGGGGGAACAAGCCACTCTTTCCCATCAATGTAAGATATGTCCATGAATGGAGCTGCTTCAGTTGGGGACAGCTCTCTTGAGTAAGAGGCTCTCAGTGTTCGATTCGATCCTGGACCCATGCATTCGAATTCCCCATAAAACACAGTCCTGCAAAATAATCAGGGCCATGTTTTGGTCAATAATGAGGATCAAGATTAGTTTGGTTCACTGCTATGAGATGTTTCCAAACTGGTGATTTCACCTCTATGTAAGGGTGGCGACAGGCCGGGCCAGCCCAGACCAAACACAAATGAAAGACAAATTCTAAGAAAAAAAAAGAAAAAGGGGGAAGGGGAGCGGGCCAGGCCAAACTTGGTTGGCCCTGGCCCTAGCTCCGCCCTCAGGCCACAGTTTCTGGCCCAGGCCAGGCCACAGTTTCTGGCCCAGGCCTTACTTTTTTAGGGCCAGGCCACCTGGCCTACCCCTATGTATCATCTGATCATGAAATTCTGCATCAATACTAGTCAACGGCGTGGGTGATAAATCTTTTCTAAGAAATTTTTTTTAAGCTTAGCGAGAAAAAAATGGTTTAATAATTTCGAAAAGACATAGGATACCCGCTGTGGTTTCATTTCCAAATTGATTGAATCAGTTGCTAGTTGATCATGCATGTTTAGGTAGTTTAGCTCAGGTTATATGAGATTGGAGCCTCCAAGTTTCCAACCCTTGACCTCCCTCATGTGTTTTGCAATAGTCGCAGTATTAGCACTTCAAATTATACAAGATTCCATCCATGTGCAGTTTGTCAATACTGTCGTTAGATGTGGTGATGTCTTCTTTATCTGCTCTCTCTTTCATGCTTTAATGTAATTCAATTAACTTTGTCACTAAGATACCATTGAATCTGTGTTGGTGACTAACTTTTCTTTCAATGTTTTGTGCAAGCTATCAGCCCATATTAATCACTTGATGGTCAGATTATGTGCTTTCATATATTCGGATCGCCTATCCCAATAAACTTATTCCCAATGCCCATATGAAACACAGGTAATTCACCTAGTCAGACCAATGAATTCGACTATTTCTTGTGGGAGGTCCTAAGTAATCAAAATTATTTACGACGAACGAAGGTAGTGCAAGTGCATTCCATCATAGTAATTTTACGCACTAGGTTGTGAGTTTCAGTACTGTGATCATATCAGAAAGGGACATTTATGAACATCTTAAATTACACAACTCTGATCTTTTTTGGACTAAATGTTCTCTTAGGTGTACGGCCTTTATATGGTTAAGGTCAGGTTAATGATCTTTCTTAGTAATTGTTTATTTTCACTTGGTCACTAGTTTACCAATAGAGATGTAACTAAACTTATCACAGTTATATTGAAGGAGTTTGTAAAAGAGAGTTGCACACTTACTGATCTCTCGCAGGGTCGTTCCAGTTGTTCCATCCGTCAGATGAGATGCTTGCAGACATATATGTCCTAGAGAAGACCACTGAAGAGTAAGGGCCCCATGCTCTCCCTAGCCACACCCTCCCTGATCCTTTTATGCTACAATTTACAAAAGAGAAGCCAGAATTTTCATTTACCGACTGCCTTCCATGAGCTGTGATCGCCCCTGTGATCATCTGCAGACCGCTTGGTACCTCTTTGGCTATTGAGTTTAATGTGCATTCCTATAAAATAGCAACCATCTCTTTAGACCATCTATAGGACATCCTTATAAATGTTTTCATTTTGTTTTATTGAATGAGTCAAACCATAATATTCTTTCGCTGATCTGTTTAAGCTTGATTTATGGGATCAAGTGCACTAGTGGATGTTCTATTAAACCCTACCTAAGAATTTATTGTACATATAAATGGCACTGATCACAAATGTTGAGATAGTTGTGAGATATTTTAAAGGAGAAAGGATTACTGTTATACCTCCTTTGCCAACTATGGTTTGAGATACTCAAGGTTAAGTTTCCTTAGTTTTATGTAAAGATTTAGTATATGCATAAGTCCTACAAGTGTTTCCAAGAATATAGAATATAGAAAAAAAAATTGCAGAAAATCTAGCAGATAAAATTAAATCTCCATAATTGGTATGAATGACAGAGGAGAGAAGTGATAGCCAAAACACTTAAGAGACCATTTTTTTTTTTGCTATATTGAATGATTACAATCATAAACTAGGCATGACAAAAAATCCAAAAATCTGATGGTGCAGTCTTATCAGCAATAATGCATCCTATTCGATCAAAACTATAAAAGGAAGTTTTAAGTCCAAAGTAACAATAATATTTGGCTAAAGCAGCAGAAAATGCCTTGGTTAGCATGATCCTTTGCCATTAAATATTGCAAGTTCAAATCCGCAATGAATAATATTACTTTCTTTATTTTAAACATACAATGGCAAAGTTTAGCTTTTAGATTTCCTTCTTGGAATATATTTGCCCTCAGGACATTTCCATTTTTTCTAACATAACATATACACTTATTGAAGGCTATGAAACAGGGATAAATGTGTCTGTGCTGACCACACGTTGACAATTGGTGAACACAGATATCCGTGTTGACCCTTCTAGAAATGCATACATCAGTTCTATGGAGTGTCTAGTGGTGTTTCCTTTTTTGGGCACATTTGTTTTTTAGAATTTGGCACTTGTTTGTCTAGAAATACCATTCTTAAATGAATAATATTTTATTTTACAAATATTAAAATAATTTAGAATATAAAAGTAACTTAGAATAAAAATAAAATTTTTTATTTTCTATTGAAGGTGCAAGTGGTGTTATCACATGAGTTTGGATGAATACATTAGGATCCTATTCAATAGCTACACAATAAGGATGGTGCATTTTGAATTACTAATTTCTATGACACAATCTTGCGGACAATAAGAAATTTTGATTAATAAAATCTAATTCACATTCTTTGGACTATTAATTAATTTAATTTTTTTGGTGATGCTTTACTATTATTACGACATATGAATTATTGTAAATGTAAATGTAGATGTGAACTACACCCAAATTTCAATATATCTATGTATAAGCACATGTATATACGTAGATACTCATATATTGTACGGACGTTTCGTGTCTATATGTCATTTTTTTGGAGTTCATATTTTTGATACCTGTATCCATGTCATAGATACACAAGCGTGTGCAATTCTATGTAACATAGGTACAATGTTTAATTAAAGTTGATTTTCAAAGTAATGCTTTTAGTACTAAAACAAGGAAATATTCATATAAGGTCTTAAATTATACTAGTGAAGTAAGGTGCACCTAAAAAATCCTTTAGAAGAGACTTTCAGGGTTAGAAAACCCTCCAATTGATCATATCAATCTTGAGAGGTATGAATATGAAGAAAAAAAATTCAAGTCCAAAAAATACTACAACTTGTAGCGAATTATCTTGACCATATATTTTCAAGATTTCCAAATGTTTATAAATAAACTATGATCCATTCTATTTTTACAACTTTAAATTTTACAACTGAGGATGAAAATAGATTTTCAATCCCTGTAAGATTTTAGGAAATATATCTCTAGGCAAAATTAGAGATGCGCCTTATTTCTACAGGGAGCACCTTTTATAAACCTGGCCCCTAAAACAATTATGTTGATATTTCTGAAAATGTTGGCAAAAGAGTTGTGACTATTGACATGGGAATTTACATAAATAAAATGGTATTACTATGTTTCCAAATAATATATATGTTTCATACACGCATCGATACACGGTCCATGTATCTAGATGCATGACATGAAAAGTTATAAGGCACAAAATAATGATACTGCATGTTCAAATAATAAACACCTTCATGCATTTGTCAATACCCTACGTCGGTGCATCTAATTGTAATACATATATGGATCAACTGTCAGCTCAATATCAGTAGCTCAACATCAGTGTCGACACATGTCAAAATATTAGGGCAAAGAAAATATAGAGTACTCATATAACCATGCTTGTCCACATAATTTGAATCGTTAACAACAGGATGATGACTTGACCTCCTAACTAAACAGTAAGGGGGAAGGGGAAAATTTTATGTTAAGGAAAAGTTTATGTAGATTTTGCAACTTTATATTATAAAAATAAGATACACCTCAAAAATCCAATAGAAAATAAGGTAGATAGAAATGAGGTCGACCTCGAGATGTATAGATATAAAAAAAAATAAAAAAATTCAAGTTTTAAAAATTGGGTATCTTATGAAAAATTATCTAGAGTGCCTATTTTCAAACATTTATAGACAATTTTTGAAATTTTAAACTTTAGAATTAGAGTTGAACATAGTAAGGAAAATTGTTTCATGCTCGCTGGACTGCATTTCTACATATATGGTCCAGAAAGTGTAAAGCATCCATTTTAAAGATGGGTGCAAGTAGGTGTTCCATCTAAAACCAATGGAAGCTAACGGTCCAAATGTTTTCTTACTAAAATTATTATTTTTATTTTTTAAAATTTATTTATTTATTCATATTCGTGATCTCCATGTTAGAGAATATATGTCCTTAAAAATTAAGTCTTAAAATCCATCTCAGAAATAAATTTATTAAGAGGCATGCATTTCTACATATGCGGGTTTGGCCGCATAGAAACAAGGTCCGTAATTAAAAGTGAGAGGCCCGCATTTCTACAAATACGAGTTTGGCCTCATAAAAACGGGGTGCGTAATTAAAAGTGGTAAAGTCAGTGGGGATTTAGGCCCCTACCTTTTAGTGAGACTGGAATCAGAGACCTCATCATGGGGCTCAACAATGCTACCGTGAAGGCCCCAAGCCATTTTCAATTATTGTAAGATTTTAACACTAGAACTACATCTTAGTGCAAAATTTAAAGGCCCACTTTGCTTGTATAGTATAAAGTGCGCCCTTGATACAAACCTCAACCTTATTTCATAGGGATTGTATACTACGAGACCATTTATTTTTTATACAATGAGGCCACACTTGGTACTAGCCATTGGATATCAAATTAGATGGATTGAGTGTGTCACAAAATTCGAAATGTTCTTTAAGGTAAAGCTAAGCCAAATTTTTAGGAAAAGGGCAGAGGTCATGGTGTTAGCACCCCACACCCTAATCACCACACTGTGGTTTCCATTTCCGCCACTAACACCATCCCACTAATAACTTAACTCCTAATCTACTTGAAAAAATAGGTAGGGGCTTGTTTCCCCCCCCTGAATTATCCAAAAGAAAAACAAAAAGAAAAGAAATTCAGATACGAACCTCGTAAAGTGATTTGGCATTGCCGAAAATGAAGTCAATAGAGCCTTGGATGAAACATTCTTTGAAATAATGGCGTCCACGGTCATCATGAAGGGTGTCCTGAGCACCATAAAACCCACAACCATAGAAAGCTGCTCTATCTCCTGCCACCCTCACTGCCACTGCTTGTCCTCCAACATCCCCTGGAGATGCCGCTGGGGCTGTATTCTTCTCCATTTTAAATCACCAGTTTTACCAAAAAAAAAAAAAAAAAGAAAAAGAAAAAGAAAAAATAAAAGAAAAAGAAGAAGAAGAAGAAAAAGAAGTAGAAATAAATATGAGTGTCAGACATTTCCTTATTTTTGGAAGCGTGTATACTATGCTCGGGAGCATACTATCCATTTGCTCCCTCAAGTAAAAAACTTGGTAGAATTTTTTTAATTTGAAATTTTGGAGTCCATTCAACTATAACTAAATGGTTATTTTTAAAGGAAGTGAAAAATGGAATTTGAGTTCTTGAAGATCTAGATCATTTGTTATAAAAATTGGATAGTTACAGTGCAATCTTGGGAAGCCCTTCTTTACGGGTACAGAGAGTGAGATTAAAAAAAAAAGAAAAAAGATTTCATTGAGATTGGTTGTTTGGTTTTAAAATCCTCACCCTCATGATTAAAAATAATAACATGCGTAATGAACTTATGTGCTTAAGCCTCTCCAACACACACTAAGGGCATGCTTGTTTGTTTGAGAGAATTTCCCCATGTTTATTACATGGGCCCGTTCACACAAAAAGAAAGGCATTTCTATTCATTTTAGAGGCAAAGAGGCATCATACTAATTAAGTATGACAGGCCTTTTCCATGGGGCGGAAAGCTTTCTCCGGGAATGAACTCTCTCGAGAGTGCTTTACGCTGAAATAAGCACACCCTAAAGAAACGATTCTCACAAAAGGAATCCTTTTCTCTATAGAAATGAAAATATCACGAAAGCTGCCACTTTCATTGTGTAGCATGGAAGGGGCAGGTTCGAAGAGACAATATCAAGCGATGTTTTTTAGGAATGTGGAAACCGTGGCTTCCAAATGGCGACTTCCACTCCCACGTAACAAACGTGGGACTGGAAGCCAGTGCTCCTGAAAACAAACAAGCTATACTAATAACAAAAGAGACAAAGCAGGAGTATGGTTGTACCTGGAAGCTGATGTTGTAAGCAATAAAATTTGGGGCGAAGATGGAGACAGTGGCGCTGTAGACTGTCCCATGCGTGGAATTGGCAGTGTCATTCCATGCAATACACGTGCTAACACACCCTACTCCTTGAAATGTAACATTCACTTTGCTTTCGTTCACGACCACCTTCTCTCTGAGGTTCCCATTTCACCAAACAAATAAAAAAAAAGCCTCAATAATTAGAACTATTAATAAAAAACTAAGACTATCAATGTAACGTTAGGAATTACTTTCAATTGTAATCCCCTAATTGTAGAGGTTGAAAGTCAAAACAAGAGTTATGATCCCTTGATGTAGGGATTGGAAGTAAAAACAAGAATTAGGATCCATTGATTATAGAGATTAGTTGATAGAAAATATTTGAATTATAATCCTTTTATTGTAGGGCTTAAAAGTAAAATGCAATAAATTCAATTTGAATCAATGGTTGACCCAGTAATTCTAAATATATACTCTAGCCCTTATCCAAAAAATCAGAATCAGGCCTTGAATCGGTGGGTGTCTGATTCCGAATTGTGTGGTCTTGTGTCCCAAAAATTGAAATCGGGCCCTAAATCACAAGGTGTCTCATTCTGATTATCCATGGGTGTGAATCGAGCAATTTCTGAGTCAGATGGGCCTTTGGGTATATGAAAACTTTGGACCATTGTAAAATTGCTCAAAATGAAATCGCCCACTTCACAATTTCAATTCAACTCAAGCAATTCAGAATCATATCGACGACTCATTATATTTTGAAGGTGTTAATAAGGGATGTCAGCAGTAGAAATGGATACCATGATATGATAACTGGGTGTGGGGATGCTACCACCACGACTCCTGCCCCTTTCATAAGAGACTCATTTTACTATATTAATTTCAGGTTTGATGGAGCATTAAATGATTTTGGAACTCATATATTACAATATAATTTGGAAATTGAGGTTGATCAAAAGAGAAAAGCTACCTTTATGTAATTTAGGTTGCGGCTATTTTATGCGTCAAAAGGATAGCGTAATCCAATTAATTTGCCCCGTGCTTTTACTGGGATGTCATATTTTGACCCATAGACCATATATAATGTATGGTCATGAGTGTTTATTAGAATCAAATCTTTTGATGGACACTTGAGTAAGAGAGTACCTAGCACCATAGGTACGATGATCGGATTGGACAGACCGATCCAATAGGTTAGAATGCTGACTAGTGTCTCGGCCAATAAATGTAGTGTTTGGTCTATTTTATTCAGTCGAATCAATCAATTTTGATTCATTAGACGGGCTAAATAAAGTTATACAACTTTTTTGATAATATATTTTATATTTTAAATTATTAATATTAATTTTTTGTTTTAAAAATCTGATCAAAACTAGATCGACTAACTTTTCACCTAGTTGGAGTGGTTTTAATTATACCAAAACCTTCGCTAGTCCGTGTTCTTTTTCGGTTCTAATAGCGCACTTCCTAGCACTTGGGTCATGTGATTTTCTAAAAGGTCCACTCTCTTTCCAACAGCTTTAAGATCATCCACTTATTGCCTCCATCGTGATGATGCATGACAGTTGATTTCATCTTGTCATATGGATCATAATCCTTTTCCCATGTATCTATCCATGGAAGTTCCACAACACACACATAGAGAGCGAGAGAGAGAGAGAGAGAGAGACCTGTAGACACCGGGAGCGATCAATATGATGCTCCTCGTCAAGGAGTTGTCCGGAACGGCATCCACAGCTTTCTGCACAGAAGTGAAATTGCCACAACCATTGAGATCAACAGCTAATACCATTGATGCATTCGCATCAGACATGAACCTCGGTGGCCATTTCATTTCATCGCAAAGATTCTTTTTTCTCTTCCTGTGATGGTGGCCTCTGATAACTCTCATGGCTTCTTCAAACATAGAGGAGAAGTCCACCCCAAAAATGTGGCTGCCCAAGGATAAGAGATTTCCATTAGCTCTTAAATATCTCCAACCAGTAGTATTCTCAAAGGGGGAGGAAGAAGAAGAGAGAGAAGGGTTGGTGAGGAGAATGGAGATGAGAGCTATAGAGACTGAAAAGAACCAAAAGAAAAGGGTTCTTGTGCACTTGGTGGTGGTATCCATTAGAGGGTGAGTTTATTAGGATGAGGGGATGGTGCTTTGTTCATGATTCAAACTAAGGAGAATATGGGGGTGGCTATTTATAGGATGAATTAGTGCGCTTTTGTTTGTGGAGAAAGGGATGTCCTCCTTTTAGAGAGAGAGAGAGAGAGAGATGTCCTTTCCGAGAGGGGAGGGGAGGGGAAGGGGGGGTGATGATGAGTGATGGAGGGAGGGGGGGTGGCGTGGTGGGGATGTGAGAAGGCGTAGTTCATGCGTTAACCAACTGGGATTGTGTGGTCGGCGATGAAGGTTTCGTATGACTTTTACCATCATTCATTATTGTTGATGATGATATCATGATGAATGTTAGAGATTTCATGGGGGTGCATTCTTATGGGTGGCAATGGGATGGGTGGCCCCGCTCTAGAAATCTAGGTTGTGACCACTGTACGAAAAAATCGAATAGGAACGTTTAATCGGATAACCGGTAAATCGACCCTTTCAACCGGCCTAACTGGACAAAGTTTCTTGTGGTTAAAAAAGTGATAAAAAATATAAAAAAAAATCAGATAAAATACAAAAAAGTACATTTAAAGAATGATTAAACAAAAGCACATCCAAATAAAATTGAAAATTAATTTTAAAAACTAGGATTTAAAGAATCAATTTGTACCGAGAGGTATTTTAAAAATTTTTAGAAAACAAAGATGGGAAAATGTAAAAATAAATATTAATGGCCAAATTTTTTTCATTTTTTGCCAAAATGATAAATTTTTTTTTGAAAAATACAGTCCAAAAAATATACCTTATTTTTTGGGATTTTATGTAAATTTATTTTAAAAAATGACCGGTTCACCAAAACCGGCCAAAACCGAAACCAGCCAGTGGCCGATTCCGATCTAACCGCGCGGTTAGATTTTGAACCGCCCGATTTTTCCTACACTGGTTGTGACTTGGATTTTGGGCCCGGTAGCTACGTCAAACCCCACTTATTTTGTTTGGAGTGATTTACTTACGGACTCTAAAATTTTTTCTAAAATACAAAATGCTCCATTTCTATATTCAAATCACAAAGAAGATTGGTCAACCCGTTTTTTTTGTATTTTTTTCAAGATAACCCCTCGGTCTAAGGATGGAATCATTGGTTCGAATTTTAATTTTGTTAGTAGGGTAGTGCAGTGCCTACTAACGAAAAAACTAAAAAAAATTTAAAATTTGGTCCGAGGAGGTCCTCTAACCCAAGAGAAATATTAAAAATAAAAAATAAAAAAAAATAAAAGGGGGTGGACCGACTTTTTTTATAGTTTCCACATTTAAATGAAGTATTTCGTATTTGAAGAAAAATATTAAGGTCCGTACATAAATCAGTTTTTGGTGTTGGTAAAGTTTCTTTTGTTTACTTCCAACTTCGCAAGCCTAATCAAGAGAGGCCAGGATGGGCTAGGCCTCAGGCCCATTTGGCTCAACTAGGCCTCTATGGCCTGGAAGGTCTGGGCCCGGCTCCACACTCGCCCATTCCCCACCCACTTGGTGCCACCCTAATTCTTGCTCGTGGAAAAATATAATAGTATTTCCTATGAAGTCATTATAATTTAAGTATGAAATAGTATATAAAGAGACCATTTACCGTTGGTACAAAGAAGTCACAATTTATCTTGACCATTGGACGTGAAATTGGGTGGCTACATTTCTTTCATTGACCAAGCTCAAAGTTCAAAAGAAATTTTGTCAAACTTTGTAACACATCAAAGTATCAAATCTCACAATTACTTATAGCCCTCCGATGTGAAATCCGATGGTATAAATGTATCACAAAGTTCGAGAAAATTTCTACTGAACTTTGAGCTCTGTCAATGTAATAAATGTAAGCCGTCAATTTCACATTCAAGATTAATTGTGACCACCTTGTACCAAACGGCAATGGTCTCATTATATATTTTTCCATAAAAAATAAGGAAAAAGTTTGTATAGAGCCGAGGCTCTAAACGATCAAATTAGAGCCCACTGCAAATTTTTAGTAGAAGAGGTGTTTTCATGCCCAAATATCTTTAATTTGATCATCTTGACATCATAGACATGAGGAAAAAAAAAAAAATAGATTTCAAGTTTTGAAAGTAGTACATCTTGTAACGCACCTTATATAATTTTTACACGCAACTTGCATACTCCCTTCTTGCAATGTTTAAAGCTCTGTTTCTCGGTTTCTTGACAAGATGTGAATAAAATAAATATTATTTTATTTTCTTTCTCATACTAATTATAATAATATTAGAAGAACAATTATTACACTTTTGGATAAAATATAAAGAAATAAATATTATTTCATTTTATTTCTAATATTAATTATACTTTAATTTTCTCTCTCATATTTATTATACTCACTCTCGTGCTTGCCTTTTCATGAAAGAGCACACCGGAGTAAATATCATCGTCAATGAAATAAATTTAAAGATTTTTACACAAAACATGTTTTTCTAATAGTGTCGAAACTTGTTGTCTTCTTGTTCTTCTTTTTTTTGAAAAATATTCCAACTTTTATTAAAAACTACAAAAAGAAAATTACATCATTAGAGATAGCAAACGAAGGTAAAGAAGCATCACCCTTAGCCAAAGCATTAGTCACATTATTCGCTTCATGGTAAACATGGGAAAATGAGATTGATAGAGAAGCTACTAGATCCATAATTGGCAACCATAACGACCGAAGTTCCCAGGGAACTCTCTGCTCCTTATTACACCATCTAATTACATTCAAAGAATCCACTTTAATCCAACAGCTATTACGAAGATTTCTATCAATGAAAATCTTCAACCCACTCAACAAAGCACTAAACTCAACAAAGTTAGCGGTTTTATTACCTATCGGACCCGTTAAATAAATATTTCCAAAATAGTCACGCAGCATGCCACCAATCCCAGCTAAACCAGGGTTATTGAAAGAGCTTCCATCGAAATTGTGCTTAAAACTTCCAACATAAGGCACGATCCAAATATATCTCGGTATACTGCTAGCAAAACCAAGAAAGAAGAGATTATTGAGATTAACCATGACATCTACCTTAGAGATACACCATTCATCTTTTGTCACTGATAGCCACGACCAAATGGAAAGTTTTATGATATGAATTATTATATCAAAAGACATAAAATTCCCATCAAAGGTACTTCTATTTCTTTCCTTCCGAACCTCCCAAAGGATGACGCTTTTAGATATCTTCCAAATAACCTACTCGTCTTAGGCATATGAGGTAGAGCAAATTGCGAAACTATCCCCTCCACAGATTGAGGAAGCACCAAATTTATCCCTAAAACGCCAAATAGACAGTGCCAAATTATCACAGTAAGTAAATGGGCTATGGATAAATAGGTTGTAGACACCCCCTCGAAATTTAGACTAAGGGAACTCTTAAAAACCTCGATTCTGGTCTTAAAGGACCACACAAACCCTAGTAGATCATAAGCAACATAGACCTAATTTAATTAACTCAAAACTACCCAAATCCTATGCCAACTTGAAGTAGAGCCCAAGAGTTTTCTAACGGTTTAAGAATCGCCTGAATCGGACCTACAGATAAAAAATATATAATAAATAGCAATTTCGTCCCTTTGAGACCAACTGTCGAGCCACGGGCTGAGCTGTAACGGGCTCGGCAGGCCTGATGATGCATACATGACATTTATGATGCAATTAATAGATTTTATGATGCAGTAAATATGTTTTTTTTAATTAGATAAGGCTAAAACTTCAAGATGAATCTAAAAAAAATCGAAAAATTCCAAAACAATTAGGAAAACTCACTAATGAAGTTCTATAAATACCCCATTCATAACCCAAAAGAAAGGGACCATAAACTAGAAAAAAATCCCTTAGAAATTCTCGAAATTAAAAAAATAGCCTAAAAATACCAAAAATAGGAAAAACCCTTAGAAAAAATCCCAAAAAATTAGAGAAATTCTCCTCCAATCCCAAAAAAACTTAGATAGACCTTACCTAAAATTCTCAGTTTTTTCATTTGCCTTAGGAACCCTAGATCTAGGTCAAAAGCACATTAGATCTACCAATTCCAGCAAGCACAAGCATCCAAAAAAAGAGATGGTAGCATAAATTGAAAGAGCGGCCTGATCCAAGCTCGAAACTCGGGTTTCGGGTCCCTAGAGATTAGTATATCTTTATTTGCTTATTTTAGTTTGTTTTTCTTTATTTAATTATCTGTTTTATTTTATTTTTTCTGGAAATTAATTCATCATTAGATTTAATTAAATTTAGAAGCGTTTTTTGTACAAATACCGATTTGGAGCTGACACTACTAGCGGACTCAGAAAAGACCAGATCTGTATAAATCTGAGATTTTTCTAAGCCTATAATTCAAGCGACCCTATTTTCTCTACCTTTTCAAAAAGTAACTCAGTTTTTGTTAAGATTTGAGCAGATCAGAGCGTAAACAGTTTGGTGCATACCGTGGGGCACCTTGAGCTTCGGATTCGTATTTTAGACTTAAAAAGCATCTTTTTTTTCTCATATTTATTTTTCCAGCAAAAATAAAAATAAAAAGAAGAAAAACAAGATAGGTTTGAAAATAATTTTTTTTTATAAGATTCGATCTTTCTTTCTAGATCTTATGTTTTCTCTCTTGATAATAAATTTAGGATCTTTTTCTCTTAATCTTTATGATCTTTTGGATCTTTTAGATCATGTTCTTTTATATTTATATTTTAGATCAATCGTTGTTATTATTATTATTATTATTATTATTATTATTATTATTATTATTATTATTATTATTATTATTATTATTATTATTATTATTATTATTATTATTTAGATCGTCTTTTATATCCATCTTGATCGTCTTTAGCTTAAGATCATTTTTATCTTTAGATCATCTTTCAGGTCAATCTTTTATATCATCTTTAGTTCAATATGTAGATCATCTTTATCTATTTTAGATAATCTTCTTTTAGATCTCATCTTGATATCTTTAGATCATCTTTTTAGATAATCTTTTAGATCATCTTTATCATCTAGAACATCTTTAGATTCATCTTGATATCAT